ACGCCACCAGCCGTTAGTCAAGACTCCCAAATATACGTTTGAACATTTCGGTTGGCTCGGCGAGGCGTCAATGGATGCTTCCGAAATACCCAGAGTTGGGTCGAGTTGAGTTAGTTCCACTATAGTATATGTAACGGATACTATAGTGGAACTAACTCAACTTGACCCAAACCTGGACATTTCGGAAACACCCAGTGTGTTTCTAGCAGTCTGTAAAGCTGAACGGGATGTAATGCACACTGCTGGGAAATAACTTTTTTTTAAGACCCATTTATAAACTATTTTTTTTTTCAAAAAATACAGGTATTGAGCAGTCAAATTTCGAAGTTTTCAGACCTTAATATTATTATTTGAAAATTTGGCGAATTTTTGAAAAAAAATTCCGTTTTCTGAAACTCTTAATTTAACGCTAAATCTAAGTATATTTTTTTATTTTTTTAACTATTGAAGCATGTTTTTATAACTCTCAAGGATATGTCAACACCACTAAATAATTAAAAAATGCGATTTGATTAAAATGGCAACACGAAAATGACATCGGGGTGTGCCACACCCCATGTGACAAACTCGTTACGATTAGGAAGTGTGACCAGTAAGGGTTAACTTATATTTCTATCGAAAATTTCAGTTTCTTATATTTTAGCTCATACATAAAAGTTACCAAGTTTACAATTTTTCCGATTTTATATTATTTATTTTTAACGATTAAATATATAAAATGTATTATACTAAATAATTAAATATTTATCTAAATATATTTATTTAACTGTCTATGTAATTTTATCTATGTAATTTTATGTAATTCTGTGTAATTTTATTGTTTTACTATAAAAGCACAATTCTGTTATATTGATTTTTCTTATATAGCTTTATCCAATTTTTTAAACAAAATGAGACCTGCAGAAGGATACTTTCGCAAACATAAGAAATGAATAAACGGTGTATATCCAATTTCCGTCTGAGAAAAAAACCGAAATATATGAAACATGTATTTAAAGAACTATGGCTATTAAAATTCAGAAAACTAAAATTAAATATTTTATGCATCAGTATTCTTAAGAATGCTTGCGTTAGTAAATTGTGATTAGTCATCCCTGCTTGATAATAGATCAAGGTGTTTGAAAAATACACTATCTTATATCATTCCAATACACGTTCAAATTATGTTTTACGTAATTTTTATAAAGTGTAAAAACAAACCATTACTCACGACTAAGAATATCGTCGTATTATCAAAAAATACAAACAAGAGTGACATCACGTGTATATTTGATATGTGTGCGCACGTTCGATGGATATTAAGTTTTAAAATTAAACATATATTTCTCCCCGAAGAGAAAGGAGATACGCCATTAGTAGAAGAATTAAATTACAATTCAAATAAATGTTTAATATTGTATACAAAAGTGAAATTATGGTTGTATTAAAAAAACAGTTTAATGATTGAGCGTTATCGTTGACGCTTATTGTTAATCGTCATTGACAGTTAATTATCATTGGAATATTTTTCTAGATTTAACACACTGATGCCCAATAGTATATTTCAATTAGAGGCGATAATAATCATCGATTATTTATTGAGTGCTTTATTCACAGTCTGAACACAGTCAATAACTCAAGAAAAAACTATGTAAGATATACGAAAATTGAGAAATTTACCTCCTGCTTCTTGCGAACCAAATAATTTTTGCCATCGTTGTTATCCCACGACTCCTTGCCGTCAGCGCGGTATCGTACGCAAAACTCGACAACATTAGACGCCACCGGCAACGTCAGCCGGAAACGAAAGGTGTCATAGAGGATGAGGACCGATGCCCCAGGCTGCTCCACGTACGTGCAATGCACGTCTTCGTGAGTGGACCAGCAATCGCTGCTGGCCCTCACCACAACCTCCTTATCGTAGGTCAAGTTTCTGACCTTTACCGTACCCACTAAGCACTGCTCAGACTCCCGCACGATCACGTTCTCCAGACTGACGTTATCCTGATCGAGTTTGTGGCGGAAGGCGAGATAATCGCTCGCCGGCTGTGGGAAGGCCACCTGCCAAGGTGACGTAGTGTCCTGCGCCGTATCCTGATTCTCCTTCGACGCACGGAGCAAACCACCGGTGAGGCCTGCTACGTAAGCCGTGCTCCATAATGGTGGCACGTTGCTAGGTTCTGACATTACGCGAACCTGTGTGCGAAATTCGATGCGGGTAATATAATAAAAAATAAAAGAATTTAATAATAAAAGGAAAGAAAAATCGATTGGATGCAACCATGTTCCTGACAAATATAATTTGTAATAATAATTGTCATAATAAATAACAATGTACATAAATATAATTTGTTATCTAATGTATTAAAAATTAGAAAACTCCACGCCACACTTTTATCATACGTGTATTAGTTTCATGTATAGTCTGTTGCAAATCGGTTTGCATACTTTTTATCAAATAAAGTTACAACGCTTCAAGTTATCAGAATTGTAAGTCCCTGCTGACATGTATAAACAACAATTGCGTTTAAAAATATATAAAAATTATTTTTCAAAATAATGTTCTCTTAATTCAAAATAAATTTTTTCTCCCAAATTTCACAAATGTCATACTCTACAGTGTCGTCTCTTGTTATAATCGATTTCTGTACATACAACTACTCAAGTAGGAATTTACTACTGGCATCAAAGTGGCCCGATTTATAATAAACGTTACTGGCATAGTACCAGATACCAGTACGGATTTAGTATTGGTGCGATACTAGGATGATAGAAAAGGGTCAGTATCGGAAAACAGTACTGTCACAGTACTGAAAATCAGTACTGTACTAGTATAAAAAAAGTATTAATTCCTAGCATTGGGGAAATACCTATTCCCAGTACTGAGCCAGTATCGATTCCTAGTAATTTTTATTATTTGTACAATTGTTAATATCACAACTATATAGTACGGAAAGAAAGATCAGACCATGGCCGGGCTGGCTGCTCTCGTTTGTATTTATATATGTCAGGAAACCCATGTGAGATTCCATGTAGTTATTCGGACAGCACAAAATATTTATAAAACATTTACAAAATATTCATAAGATTTATTTCATTATTTTATAATTATTTATCAAAATATTTTATAAATATTTTTGTGATCTTAGATTTAATTAGATCATAAATATTATAAATTTAATTATTAAAATATATACATTATAATTTATATACATTTTTTTTCCTGAATTTTTCTTAAATTTCCCACTTTATTGTTTTACACGCTACTTAATTTAATTTAAATTGTAGCTTGAAAAATTTACTGACCATGCTAGGATTCGAACCTGAGATCTTTGCTTTTTGAGTCGTTCATCTTACCTACTGCGCCATTGTTATTTTGACTGAGAGAGCTTTATTTATTGTATATATATGGTATATCAATGTACAAAAACAAGTAATTTATTTAAAAGAAGAGAATAGATCCTTTCATATGTAAAAAGTATGTTTAAAAAGTATGTAAAAAGTATATTTATATAATTTTTACATTTTATAAGTATGTAAAAATATCTACTTGTTTTAAATACAAATACAAATAAAATACAAATACAATAACAAGTAAAATACAAATTAATCATTTTGTAAATTTAAATAAATGGTTTTCTGATGATAAAAGTAACTTTAATTTAAAATACAAAAAAGATACATTTAATATTTAAAATAATTTATTTAGGCTTATAAAATAATTTACTTCTAAAACAAGCAAATATTTATTTAAACACAATTTTTATATTAAAAAAAACTAATTTTCTTCTTGTAAGGAAAACATTTGCTTATTCTTATATATAGATGTTTTAAATCAAAGAAATCATTTTTTATCTACAAATTCATAATTTTATAGCTCATTTTACAAATTGAAAAAAAAATATTACTTTATATTTATTACATGTTTTCTAAAATCTAACAAATTTCTTTAAGTTAAGAAATTATATTTCATATAACAAAATATATTTTTTTAATTGCCGGCAAGCTGATAGTAAGGAGTTGATAGCGCTCCATCAAAAGAGTGAAAGGTAGGAAAGAGAGGACTAAAAAAGGAAGAAAGGGAGAGAGGAAGGATAGCAGATCAAGGAGCAGGAGGAGAGGACAGGAATAAAAAGAAAGAAGAAATAAAGGTGAAAAGGAGAAGCAAAAATAACGAAGGAGAGGGACACGTGGCAACGAGACAAAGACAAACAGAAGTGAAGTGAGACAGGGATATGGAGGCGTGAAGGGGATAAGACGAGAAAACACATAGTAATAAGGTAGGAAAAGTAGATGACGATAGTACCTACATAAGGTAACAGCAATAAAAAAGAAGGATAGGGCCAAGGACACGAGAGAGAGAGAGAGAGAGAGAGAGAGAGAGAGAGAGAGAGAGAG